GGATCACAGTCCCGCCCGGAGCAGGTTTGCGCCACACCCCGCCCGTCAATATTTCATTGAAACTACTGATTCTATATCACTCACTTTTAAAAAATGTCAAACATAAAACATTTACTCTAACCAGATTCTGAATAAACTTGGTGTAACTGTGAAGCCATTACTGACTCCACAGTGATCAACAGTCACATGACAAAAATTCACTGAACTGGGCTGAACTGCAGGCTGTGTTTACACAGAGCAGAGAAAAGCAGAGAAACTAATAAAAAAATATAAGCAGCATATAAAATATCTATAGTATGTATGTGATGTCATCATTTTTTTCACAATTGACATTTAGTTTTAATATAATGACCATATTTCATAATGATTTATTCCTATTTTTTATTGGCTATTAGGAGCATTAAGCTGTTATGATTTAATTTGTGGAGTAAATCTGCTTCATTAAGCGGACAGCCTCATACAAACACACTGGAGGTTAGAAAAACAAAACTGTCACATTTACAACCTCTCATTTAGCTGTGGACAAACACGGGGCTATTTACTGTATCATAACGCTGTCCGTGTTTGCTGTTGTGGGTGAGATGATGCTCTTGTAAACAGCAGTGCTCATGTTGCACCTTTATAAAAAGCCTAAAACCATCTGCAGCGTTTCCATAAACTGTTCCTGACATGTGGCAGGCGAGTCTGACACATGTCACCGGTGGAGACAGAGGCCTTGGCATCATGTCGCCTCACACACCGAGCTTCTGCGTATTTAAAGCAGCGCTAACCACAGACTGACTGCCATTAGCCTGCTAGCTTCCACTGCTCCGCACGAGTGGATCCGAACTGAGCGCTTTAAATTGGCTGTATACGTCTGTCTGCGTGTGTGTGTGTGTGTGTGTGTGTGTGTGTGTGTGTGTGGTGGAAATGAGAACCAGGCGCGCCGCACTGCTCCGTTAATGTCGTTATGACTGTGTGTTTTTAATATGACGGCAACAATGGAAGCCTGTTGCTATTAGGCCCGCCGTGTGTGAGCGAGTTTGTGCGCGTGTGTTCGATACATCCGCTTGTGCGCGCGCTTGTGAGTGTGTGCGTCTGAGCAAATGTTTCTCATAAAGCACATTGTTAGCCGAGTTAGGCCGCCGATAATGAACTCTTCCTCTGTCTGTGAAAAGGCTGCTGTTGAGGGACCCATGGGAAACTTGTCATCTGCGCTGCAGAGGGAGGACCTGACGCTACCGGCGGATGATTGAGAGTGATGGGGTTAAAACGAGAAGATGAGCCGAGATGTAACATGAAAACCCTGTGGGAAGAGATGTAAATGTTATTTGTGTATATAGTCTGAAGTAAATGAGGATATAGGAGTGAAAGAACATTATGAGTGAAGAAGGAGAGCATCTGTAGAGATGCACACTTGCATTAAGGTTGAAGGCACTGTGGGTGTTGTCTCCATGGAAACCAAGAGGGAAGGAGAATGGAGGATCCTTTTATCCCTACTTTTACCTGAGTGATCAAAGGTTTGGTGCCCACTCTGCCGCTAGACTTATCACCAAGTATGATTTTCAGAATCATGGCTGAAGTTACGCTGTTGCTTCTTACAGAGAGTTTGATGAAAAGAGCCGTACCACTCTGCTGTGGCCTTTGAATGTGAAGCTACAGACAGGAGACACTCCGCTTAGTTTCGCATAGAGACTAGAAACAGGGAAGCAGCTAGCTGGCTCTTTCCTAAGACAACAAAAGCCCCCAGCTTTAGTCAGTATGCATTAATTGTTAGGTGTTTGTGCACATTCACTCTGAACCTCAACTGGTCTCTGGTTGTTTTTTGCTGCTGTCACGTTTTCACTCGCTGTAGGTTCATTTTTCACTGCAGTAGAAAATCCTGTGTCTCTATAGAAACAGCACGACAACGGCTAGAGGTAGAGATAACTCAAACATGTCTTCTGTGCAGTATAATGAACTTAAAATAGCATAAATCTTTAAAAAAAGGGACAACAAAAGTTGAATTTCTTTGACTATTTTACAAAAATGACAAAAACCTGGAATCGACTTTTTTCCCAAAGCAATCACAGGTGTTACCAATACTGGAAAAAAAAACAAACACTGGCTTTACATTCTACGGATACTTTACGTTTATAATGTGTTTTTTATACTTGTCTCCTGTCTACTCTGTTCAGACACAGCCTGCAGTTCAGTCAAATGGTCTCAGAATTTTTGTCAAGTTACTGTTGGTCACTCACTGCTTGTCGGAGCAGAGAATCTATTTTTCTATACAGAATTTGGTGCAAACAGTTTATTTTAACTTTAAAACAACAACAACAAAAACAGACTTGTAGAATAAAGTGATTTTGATCAAATGTAACAATTTTAAGCTTAGATTTGGTTAATTTTTCTTGATTAAACTGCACACGACGCATTAATAGTTCAAAGGATGTCGTAAAGTTGAAAATCTGGCGATTCTTTCTGTGTTTACAGTTTCTGGCTCTGATAATTGGTGCCATTTTGAAACCAAGCCTTTCAAACCCACTGATGGGTTTTGCGGTTCAGAGGGTTAAGCAAAGCTTAAAAAACAAGGTTTTCCTCTTTTTTACTGGTTGCTGTTTTTTGTACTTTTTATACAAGATATTGTTGTAAATTAGTGAGCTTTCGTGGTTTTGATAAGGATTTTTTTTTTTTAATTTAAAAAGAGAGCAAGTACAATTTGCTGCCTGTTTCCAGTCTTTATGCTAGGCTAACCTTTAACCTAATCTCCTGGTTGTCACATTAAAGGACTTGAGGATTTGAGAATGGTCAGTAACTAAGTGTGGTTGCCAAATGTTAAGTATTCCTTTAATCAGAGTGCAGGAAATAATTCCTCTGAAGAAGTTTGATCGTTAAGTGGACTGACTCTGCTCTTTTTGATTCCTTTTAAAAGAAACAACTCCGTAAAGACTTCCTTTGAGTTGTGTAAATAATCTTATTTCATATTTTACATCATACATCATTAAGCTAAATAATCCGATGATCTAGTCCTAACTGGCCTGAAATGCACCCATCTTAAAATAACTGTTGCCCCACCGCATTGCGAAACTCAGCTCTTGGCCTGAACGTTCTTTTTTTTTTTTAAATTATTTTTCATGGGACTGTGGACTGAGGGCTGGGGCTCTCTGCTCGTGGTCTCCGGCACATCTGGGCTCTCCTCTGATGGGACACACTGTGGGAGGAAGATGGGACGGAGTGGCGGGGTCCTGAGGTTGCCTGAACGTTTGAGAGAGGCTGTAGAAATGTTAGTGGGATGGCTGGGTGGGAGCGGGGATGAGGAGATGTCACCCGGGCTGATTTAAAGCGAGGACTGTGGGAAACGCCCACGGGGGAATCTTGAATGTGTGTTTGTGTGCGTGTGCAGGGAGAGGGATGTGGAGGGGCTGGTGGTGGTGGTGGAGGTGGTGGGGGGTTGATGGGAGGGGAAAAGTCTTGGGTGTTTGGTTGTGCGGTTCGGGCTGAGGCCCAGCAAACAGGCCCCGAGGACACCGAACACACACGCAAGGAGATGACACGCCCACGATGACCTATATCCGCACGCACCTCGGTGTCGTTGTTGAGGTTCCACAGGTCCAGGCGGCCCATGCCGTCCACGGCGGCAAACATGGCAGGGTGCACGGGCGACCACATGACGTCGTACACGTAGTCGGCGTTGTCCTCAAACGAGTACAGGGGCTTGTTGTGCTGCAAGAGAGAAAAAAAAAAAAGGATATCTGGCGTGTGTGACTGACATCGTGTGAAATAACACACAGAGAAAAACAGAGCGCAAGGGATTACGGTAGATGACACACTGGAGATAGAAAGAAAAGAGAGGGAGAGGGAGAGAGAGAGAGGAGGAGAGAGGGAGTGAGTGAGCTTCAGACAGAGTGGCGCTGCCTCAGCCTTGGGGCCTGTCTGGGTGCAGAGCCTAATTAAAAAGCCTAGCACATTCACACAGCGCCATAAAACCGCTGGGAGAGATGAAAGGGAAGGCCGCTCCACAAGGTGTACTGTAACCTTAACGCAACAGCTGTCTGAGAGAGAGAGAGAGATGGTAAGAGATAGGAAATGGGAGGAAAAGAAGGGGTGGACAATGGACTGATAGGACGGGGCGCTTCAAACAGGATCAATGTGTTTGCAGGGAGAACTTGACCGACGGTGGATTTTAAGGCCTAAATTGATAACGGCATTTGAGAGAACAGAAAAATCCCGAACTGTCAGAGCTACAACAGCTGATGTTCATCTTTAACATAAACAAATGCTATTAAAGAATTGTGTCTAAGTGCTCAGCTGGATGTTTTACATTTTAAACAGAAACTTGTCAGTGCTCTCTGGTGGACAAACAGTGACACTATTTCTAAACTGCCTTCATGCTTTGGGCAAAAACAAACATCAGTGCTCCTGTGTCAGTGATAAGCTAACATCAGTTGATAACATTGTTTTTGACAACTGACAAGTTATCATGTTATGCATACCATACTTCCTCTAAATGTGTGTTGTATGTTGACAACACGTAGCAGCACAACAAGTCAGAGATCAGGGAACAAACTCTTTGGAGAAACAACTTTGACCCTCATGTCCTCTATCACTGTGTGGTTTTTGTGTCCTGGGGTGTAAATACTGCACTAAGCAGAACTGAGCTACACAGTCCTTGTTGAACTTTGACAACGTACTTTGACCTTTGAGCAAGGCTAATGGCTGAAGGCTGCTGTTTGTGCTGTGGTTAAAGATGGATACAGGTGGGAACCAGGGCTGCACAACTATGGCCAAAATCATAATTAGTCTGATCAGTACTGAGATTATGATTCTTCACAACAATCATTCATTGATTTTAAGGTCAAAATATGTCACATTTAAATAAACAGCACTGCTTTCTTTTTTAATGTGTGTGCTATATTTGTACTGATTAAGAAAATACTTAAAATAAAAATTCTCTTCACCTGAATTCAGTGCATCTCCTGGAACCAAACTGAAACCTTCACTTACTGAACATCAGCTTATGAAAGGCTACTTCCTGCTACATGGAGTCTACAGATGTTCCCTAAACACCTCCCATACAGGCTGCAGCACAGAGAAGCTTCTAGTCTCCTCACTCACACAACTCAGACAGGTGTGTGATTAAAAAAAATACTTTGAAAGGGTGAAACAGGGCAATCCAATGTAGAACTTCCCCAGGTTGAAACAAGTGACCTTAACTCCATGGGCTGCTTTACATACGTGGAGTTTTGTATGAGAGAAGCGTGTAGTTTATAGATAAATATCCCATGATCATTTATTATTATTATTATTATTATTTGATTGAATGTGAGAGCACCTATCTATACAATAACAAAGCATGATAAAGCTGATGAAGCAGAGGACATATCAGCCGTCACGTGCGGCTAACTTGTTTGTGAGTCTGATGTGAACGTTGGTAATATTTAGAAACTTATGTTGAGTGTTTGCAGCTACCTTGCAGACACCTCAGTGCGCCCCACAAGAGTGGACTTCTGCCATAAGGTAAATACAACTTAACACAAATATGAGTGTTTGTGTAATCCCCATTTCTCTGACCCACTGTTAGGATTCCAGAGGCTCACAAACTGCGTTCCTGACAAGTAGAGTGGGAGGGGTGGAAGCGAGGAGACAGGTTGGCTGGAAGAGCAAATGAAAGAATGTAGTATCTCTCTCTCTCTCTCTCTCTCTCTCCCCTTCTCTCTTCCTCATTCTTGCTTCTTTCTCCCTCCATCACCTTTACCCTCTCACTCCACAGTTGTTCTGAGAGCGCACACTTACGCGCACGGAAACACGCAAACACAAACAAACAGAGCCGAGCCAATTTCAAGCCTCGATTGAACCTGTTTTCCAGCCGGTGAGATGACAGCAGAGGTCATTTTTCTCCATCTCGCAGTTTCGGCACTCGATCAGCCGAGTGATCCCTGTTTATGTTCTCTCTCGTTCTCTGCTGCTCATCCTGCAACTCAACAGCGTTTCTCATCGCCCGCTTATATTTAAACTCCCTCTCTGATCGTTGATTAAGCCCCGCAAAAGTCAGCTCTGTGTATCAGAGTTACATATTTAGAAGTTTTTTCCCCTGCCTGTATCAAAATGGCTTGGATGAAACTCTTCACTGTTTCTTCCTTTAAAATGAGTAAATTTAAGCCCCCACCTCTCTCTCTCCTCATGACCCCCTCCCCACACCAGCTCACCCATGACTCACTGTATAACTGTTCTACGCGACACAATGGCATTTCGTAATATTGAGGTAACTCAGATTTACATATTTGCCCTGAAACACGATTCTGAAGAAAAATAGTCGTATGGAAAGTCCCATGTTGCAAAGTTAACTGGATTAGTTCCTTCAGTTTGTTATGTATGAAACATCAGAAGTCTGAATCAGCGTTTTTGAGTCATCTCAGGATGAATGATTTTGGGAAAATCATTCAAATACAGCTACTGCAGTCTGATTTGCAATTTACTTTTTTTCAGGTCAAACTTCAGCTCACTGGGTTTTTCACAGAAGGAGGACGGCATGAATTTGTAAAACCACTGACATGATAATATTTGGGTCAAAATGTAGAGGGTGTAGCTATTAAATAATGTGACTATGCTTATTTACGTCCAACCACAGTCTGAAGGGCATAGTGTACATTTAAACAAACTGAACTAGAACATCAGTATTAGTAATAAAGCCACATCTTGTATATCTGAAAATGCAGCCATGGGAATTTGCTAATTGCACTCTTTCAAAGTTTAAAATCGATTCATTGTTCATCCCTTATATCGTCACTACACTGAAGTTTCAAGGTGGAAATGCTCAGTCATGGCGCCGACTGCTTTCGGCAAATATAAACATCTTATGAACATGTTAACATGGTAAAAAAAATAAAAATTTAAAAAAAGATTTTCCCTGGAGGGGTCTTCAAGAAGTCGCTCTATGTTGCAGCATAGTGCCTCTTTTTTCATTTCAAGGTAACCTCCTGAAGCCTCTTTCATTTAACTGGGTCATGAGCTCAAAGTGATGCATCACTTGGGAGATAAAATGAGATAAATGAAGTCCTCCTTGGATTATATTGACACCTCAAAATGTAAACTACTATTTTGTCTGTATCTACCAATTTTAAGGAATGTGATTTGGTTAAAAAGGCTTAAAACTAATCTTAAAATTAAGCTTAATCCTTGTGGCGCCACACGTCAAGTAACTGGTTGTCATTATCTTTCCTGTGTGGAGAAGCTGCGGAGTTTGTAGAACGTCTGAGCTGGAAATCCATCACTGAAACGCTGGATGCTGATGTCACGGTGCAATGACAATTTATTGACATAAAGCAGTTTAGGAGATGAACAGACGATTGCAAGTTAAGCATTAAATGTCTTGGATATCGTTGCTAAAAAACGAATGCCCGTCTGTATCTCATGACATCAGCATTAATCATAAAATACCGCATTCTGTTCGCTGTCTCAACATTGAAAATGTCAAGGAGGCTACCAGTCTTACAGAAAACCTCTCATCATTCAGCCATCCATAGGGATCCAAACCATCTCATCTCTGCAGCAGCCGGAGTCATATAATTTCACTGGTTCCATCCTGGCTGCATTTGCATCTAGCTTCAGATTTAATAACCACACGCTGCGGGGACCGAGACGCTGTCCTCGAATTAGAAATTGTTGTGATATGTTTCTCGCGCTGCGCTGTGAGAGCACATCGGGACAAAACATAATCTTATTTTCTCTTTTCCAAATATATCTACAGACACTCATGTGAAATATGATCAACACTCATTAACAATCACCTGAAATGACAGTGATGCGGGCCTTTAATTAACTTCTTAAGAGCGCAAAAGTGGAATGATTATGCTCCATCCAATCACTTAGCAGACGCTGGTTTTGGGGTCAAGAGAGCAAGACGGTTCAAGTTATGCACAATCATAAACCCACTCCCAGCTGTCGCGACATCTTCACACTCGGGCCGCTTCGAATGGTTTCGCTAACCACAATATTTGCACCGCTGAGTGTAAAAACATTAGCAGACTTCTGTACGGCGGCCTTTTTCAACTGCGAGGGCAAACGTGTGTGTGAATGCAGAGAGAATTCACTGCCAACGTGTGTGTGTGTGTGTGTGTTATAACAGTTTGCGATGGCTATGATTGGAGGGTTGAAGGCAAACCTCAAGGGGATTTTAGGCAAGCAAAGGCAGCTTGCTTAAGGTGTGCATGAGGCATGTGTGGTGCGTCTGTATTTACACACACACATACGCTCAGGTATTCCGCCTGCCCACACACAAATATGGGTTATGTGGGATAAGAGACAGACACACATTCCTGCGGTGCCCCTCAAAGGAAAGGGAATTCCCAAATCCTGAAAAATAACACACTCTTCTGATGAAAATCCACAGAAATGTTTTAATATGTGTCACGGGACCCCTTGCACAAGACTTATGGACTGTCTGCATGCAAACATGAGCTAAAATTCATCCGAGTGCTTTACTGCCTGTCACAGCCAAGCATGAAAACTGTAACCGGATCTTGCATAAAGCTGAACGTATTATGCAATATGCATTATGTATTTTCATCATATTGAACAGGTCTCGCTTTGAATTCTTGGCTGTATTTGCTCTCTGACACCTTGCTCATATTGATCTCACCCTTCTTCAAAGTTAGCATCACTTTTAACTATTAATTTATGTCTTGAAAATGCCTCCTAAATCTTTCTCCTGCTCCCTCCTGCTGACTCTTAGGAACCACTTTCCTGTGTCTCACCATTTTCCTTCCTTCCTTTCCTCTTGTGTATGCCCCACCAGTTTTGCTATTTCCTGGTATTTGTTGATGTTGTGGTCCGGTATGATACCTTTTGTCCGTTCCACCTCAGTCTAACTTCACCTCTGGGTTTTCTTGGATTGTTTGTTTGTCTACTTTATTTATTTCAAGTCTTTTGTGCAATATGCCAAATGTGTACGTCTCACCGCCACAAAAGTGTCCTTTCAATGTTTTAGCAAAACTTTTCTATTCTCCAACCTCACTGACAGAAACAGTGACTGTTTGCTTTTTACTGCCACTGAAATGCTGCCAAATGGAATTCATCACATTGGTTTGAAAGGAGAACAAATGCCCTGAGTGGACGAGGTCACTCAAAACCAGCGAGAGGAGGAGCGCCCACCTTTCGAGTATGTCTGACTTAGATTCGCTGAGTGTACCTGCGGGCGACAGCCAGCACTATCCAATCAGTGCGTTTGTGTTTGGCAGGGAGAATTGAGTGGGAGGGATAGACACACACACACACACACGCACACACGCACACACACACACATGCATGCAGGGACTTCTACATGCCCACCAGGACACAGAAGAAAAATTCAGTCTGTGATTATTTCTCAGATGAGGTGCAATGAGAGTTAAAGCTGAGGTAGGCAGTATTTTTTGGCATTATTAGGCACAAATTCCATAATTACATTTCAGTACATCTAGTGGTCTGAGAGGAAACTTCTGTACTTTGTCTTCGCTCCATTTTCATGCTTCAGAACATCTAGCCACTGAAAGGAGCAGGTGAGAGAGTATAAATAGCAGTAAGAGTACAGTGTGCTGGTGCAATGGCTTATATGGAGGACTTTCAATCAGGAGAGCAGGGTTGGAATTCTGTGTAAAGCTACAAGGAAATGTTAACTTTTAGTTTGAGTACTTTTTGCATGTTGATAGCACATGCATATGCCCATTAGAACAGAGAATGGAGATATGTAGGAGATGGATTGTACTGAAATTCAGATTTGTGCTTCCCCAGCTCAAAGAAGTGATGAGGATTGACTAATATAAAAATTGAAGTGTTGAAGAGGTAACACTTTCTCAAACCAGTGTTTTCAGTACTTTCTGTGTCTGCAATTGCGCAAGGGTCAGATTTAAATTGCATCATCTCCCCGAGTCCATACTGACCACTCACATGGCCAATATACGAGGGGTGTCAGAAAAGTTTCAGGACTGGTGTCACAAAAGATATATTTCAAATACAAACTACAAGTTTTCCCCTGAAGTCTAACACACTTTCCCAGCCTTCTCTGCCACGCCACCATGCACTCCTGGAAGGATTCTTCTGGGATCCTCCTCAGCTCCGTCGTCACAGCCATCTTAATGTCGTCCACATCTTCAAAACAGGTCCCCTTGATGACCCCCTTGAGCTTGGGGAAGAGGAACAAATCCCACAGAGCCAGGTGGGGTGAGTAGGGAGGTTGCTCCAGCACAGCAATGTTCGTCTCAGCCAGGAACTGTCGGATGCTCAGGGCATCGTGAGCAGGCACGTTGTCATGGTGAAGCAGCCACGACTTGTCCTGCATCAACTCTCGCCTCTTCTCGCGCACTGAATGAAGCAAACGCTGCAGGATCTCTTTGTAGATGTGCTGGTTGATCGTCTGAGTTTGTATTATGGGGTTTGAAATATATTTCAGTCCTGGAACTTTTCTGACACACCTCGTAATATAAGGACAGAAGTGCGCATGCTTATCAGGAGTGCGCACGTGTAAAACAAAAAAAACATCAATTTACAGCACATGTATGAGAATTTTCCATTCTGATTTGATCAGAAAATAGTATCATAACAACAGCATGTCTGTAGTGTCTGCAGCTGTGTGATGGCAGCTTTAAGGGAGTATAATCACGGCTTCACAGTGAAAGTTTTCTACAGTGCAACTTTTCCAACAACACACAATAACTTCTAATAAATACAACTGATGGGGCTGTAGCTCAATAAAAATACTAGTAGAAAATCTGATTGTTTAAAATGAAAGCTGATGAACACCACAGTTCCACCAATGTTAACACTTATTCTTTATACTGAGGTGGCAGTGACACATTTTCTCTTTTTATCATGAAGGCAGAGCTATTTTAGCAGAACTTACCCAGCTTATTCACACACACACACACACACACACACACGCATACACACAAAAAGACACAGAAGTAGTAAGAGAAGGACTGATTTTTGAAAACCTTGCTCACCTACTGTACTCAACTTTCCTCCCTTACTTACCCACTAGTTCATTCGCTCTCATTCTCAGGATTCTCTGCAGCCTCTCGCCACAATCAACCCCCCACACATCCTTTCTCTCTCCCCTCTCTCAGACACACACCTCCCACACTGTACCTTGGTGCTCCAGAGTTTGACGGTCCAATCGAAGGAGGATGTGATAAAGAGGTGCGAGAAGTCGACGGTGCCCACTGCGCTGTGGCAGCTGATGCCTGTTACCGGCCCTTGGTGGCCCTCGAACATCTCACAGATACCCGCCTTACTGGAGAGGGATAACACAAGTATAACATCTGTAATGGGGACATTTAGCACTGCAGCGTTTTATTGAGCGTAACTTGTTCAACTATAAAGCCGAGAATTTCTGTACATTTCACTAAAGGTGCGAAAAAATAAATTACCAGCACAGTAAAGAAGCTGTAAATATAAATGAAATGATTAACTCTTTAACTATCTCCTAGGCAATTAGGCAAAACAAGCTGAAATGTAGTTAATTTAGAAAAAACAAATAAATAAAATTTTCTTTAATGTCTTTTTTTGCAAACATATAAAAAACTGTGATATTCTAACTCATTTTGTAAGCAGTGAAAGGGAAGAATATTTAGCATTAAGACGTAAAGCAACCGTTAATGCCACACTCGTGGGATAATGTCAACATTTTCCTGTGAATTTCTATCCATGTGTGTGTGAGAGAGTGTTCACATTCTGCTCACTAACCTGCCGTGTCTGGATGCAGTATACACCGTGCCCTCCTCGCTCCCGACCACATAGTTGTTAACGTCTCCCGTGGGGAAGGCCATGCCTGTCACCGCCACAGGTTTGGATTTATTGTACACCAGCTCCATGGTCTCCTACACACACACACACACACACCTGTATCAAGATCTGCCTATATATGACCAAATACACAAATTCAAACACTGAAACATGTTACTGTAGACCCAGTTGCAGTTGATAATCTATATGAAACTCCAGCTGCACCAAAACTCTTCTTTTTACCAAACCAATATTATACAATCTTCAAAATTTTGACTTTTTTTTTTTTGCGTGGACATGAGTGTTTGTATACCTGAGGCTGGGAGAGCATGTCCAGACTCCAGGAGCACATCCTGCCGTCTGTAGACACAGTGATCAAGTTGTTGGCATTCTGAGTGCCGACCACGTTCACGCAGTACACTGGGTGCTACACAAGATCACACACAGACACAAACAAAAGAGATGGGTGAAAAAACACTGCTGTGCAATGCAACAGATGAGATCATATATTTTTAATATCTCATAACTGACATCAACTGAAGAATGATACAATTTCTATTAAAATGATATTTGTTACTTTGCTGCATAATGTGATCACAGTACTAAATCCTAATTATTTGTCCTTTTGATTCAAGGCAAAAAAATATCTGCACATTTGGCATCTTGTGCAATAAATACTTGGATATTTCCTAGCTGCAGCAGGCTGTCAGGGACATGAAATATTTCTTAATTTTGATTAATTAAATTAGAGCTTAAGCATGGCCCTGTAATGATCTTGTAATATTACCCTTAAAAACATGACATCACTAGGTACTTCGTGGGCCAAAAGATGCAGCAGGCTCGCAGACAGCTCACATGCCAGTGTGCAGTCGTCCTTTTAAATCGCTCTACGTCGGATCCACGAGTGTGTGAAGCCATTATATCATTACTGAGCAGTAATTGATTTGCGTACTGGGCCGCACAAAGGATCCATTCAGCAATCAGCACCATGCTTGCATGCTGGACTCAACTAACTGGAGAAGACGAGAGCGGCGGCCTCATTATTGGAGTCCACAACCCCTTTAAATCTACAGTATGGATGGCATGTAGCAGTGTGTGTGTTCTCATGCCTTCTGTAGCTGCCATTATAAACTGCCCTCCGTCTTAAGATATCACTAGTGTATATTTGACGGTAATTTGTTGAGGGTCAGTGAGTTCACTGGAGCTGAACCGAGCTGTCCACTCAGTTATGTCTAGTGTGAGTGTTGTGAGACAGTCGCTTCTTGATACAACACATGTCATGCTTTTGTAATGTAAAAATGTCACTGCATGTTTTATTAATTACATATTACAGCATTTTTAGATCATATATATCTGAAAAGCTTGTCCAATCTTTACCTTCTTTGAAATGTTGTATTATGATGTTTTTAATCGAACTACTTCAGCACAGAAAGTCCAAACTAACAAAAAGTTTCCATATTGCTCGTGGGGACGGTTCTTACAGTGTGTGCAGCAGCAGACAGGGGAGTTCTTTGGACAGGGGTCCGACGGTGACTGCGGTTGTCCCACAAGACGATCTGTCCCGAGTAAGTCCCCCCTACCACCAGGTTGGGATGAAACCTGGCAAAACCCACAGACACCACCGGAGACTGAGGAGAGAAAAAAAAAAAAAGTAGAGAAAGAGGAGGGACAGAATGAGATTAACTGCATTTTGTGGGTTTATCTTATGGGAAAGTTCAAGACGCATTATCATGAACCGAAGAAGGACGTAAGAGTAGAAATGGTTTGGTCTGATAAAATGACGAGATGAAACAGCAGACGGTGAGAAAAGAGCAGAAGCAAAGAAAGATGCGGAGTGAAAACGGTAACGCTAGACAGGGTACGGGCGAGAACGAGTGATCAAGGCATCATGATGGGTGGCAGACGTGGGGACACAGACAGTGAGGGAGATGATGAGTTTGGCCACTGTGAGGGTCTACCGAGGAGAGGAGAGAGGGGTGACGCTGGGGTGGAGACCAGACAAAGAGGGGAATTGTAGTCCTCTTTCCCCCAGCCGTTTCACATTACAGCATCAAAACCCCAGCAGCCACTGGAGCGCTCACTGTAGCCTCCATCATGACAAGCGCACCCTTGAACTCCCCCCCCACCGCCCCCTCTCAATGCCGTGTTTATTGAGTTTTGGTTCCTCTTCAGTGCGTGTCCCATATGGGCTTCTGCGTGCAACAGCTAGCTTCTCCTGACCCAGAGCCTGCTGAAGCATCTGTGCTTTTGAGTTATGAGAAAACGTTTCAGCAACAAATTCATCAGAATTAACCAAACAAGCGCAGTACTGCTGAGAGGAGAAATAATTTACAGGCAAGACAGGGCCAAGAGAGTTCTGAACATGAAGCACGCAAACACAAATCACAATTAAAAACAGTAAAACTCCAACAACATGTCGGGTGCATTTCGCAAAAAGACTGTTGCCTAATATGGTCGTAGATTTGTCAGTTGAAGCGATGCTGACAGTTTTATTGTTCCTGAGAATTGTTCGTCAGACATTTGGTTGTTGAAACAGCAGCTCTGAGACGGCGCTCGGGGGTCAAAACTTGTCATTAAGCATCAGAATCCACCCAAATCAATCATCGTATTAACAAGATAATAACTGTAAGATGTATGTGAATACTCATTAATACGAGTATTCACATAAATCACCACTGGTTGTAACAGCTTGTTTGATAAACAGGAAAATTTCAATTAATATTATTTTAAGAATTCTACTAAAGGCAAATATAAATGAATATTTGATCAACTTAATGACTATGATTGCAATAATGGTTTACATGAATGAGGGAGAGTCACAGGACATTGTCAAAGATGAAAAGAATATTGGTGATAAAATGCCAGAACAGTGCTTTGCTGTGGCTGTAGGATGCCAAAAGAACAGCAGAGACTGTGATAATGCTTAAAAAACAGCTGACAATAGCGTCAAATGAGAGTGTGTAACATTTCTTCTAAACAGCAGCGACTGTGGCCACAAGTAGCAATTATGGGATAACGGTAAATGCTAAACTATACATCATCGACTCTGTAATGTCAGTTACACAGCAAAATCCAGCAGATTATCCCGATCTTGCAATCCTTCAGATACATCATGACCTAGTAGGGCTGTAGCTGCAAAAACACGACTGGAAGTGTAACAAAATACGCAAGGAGATGACGAATTCAGTTTTTACGTTTGTACAAGGAATACTGTTATTTTTTTGGTTCCATTATGTATTTCAATATGACTAAGGTCAATCAACTGCCTGGCACATTGAATTTTACGTGGATCATCATCTTTTTTTAGGTCAGAGCACTCAATGTACTGCATATAACACTGAAAGTAAATGAACAAATCCATTCACTGGGAACCTAACTGCCCTAAGGTACGAATATAATTTAACAAAATCTGTTTTGCTTAGAGTAGTGGAAGATTCAACTACAACTGAGACAATACACAGTCTACAACAGTATTATATTTGTCTTATTTCTCTGTTCTTTTTCATTTCTCTCCCTCCTGTTCCCTCTCTCTCCATCACTGCCACCACACCATGTGCAGAGCGGCCAACTCCAAACCCCAGTTCATTTTGAAAGGAGACTGGAAAACAAACCAGAGGGAAAGAAAACACTCCGTGACTTTTTATTTCTCTTTTTTGTTACTTCTGAGAAGTCACGGCTTCTGGAGGAACGGCTCGGGAGTCGCTTCAGATGTCAGCACTCAAAATAAACTGAACTTTGGTGGTAAAAATAAAGTCGGCGCGTCAGCTGGCAACGAAGACTCTCTCTGAAAAGTTTATTTACACAGTCAAGCAAAAAGGAATCAAGGTTTGGGGCTTATTAGCATGTATTACAGAATGTGATTCGATGGTCTGACCATTAACATCTCGAGTTGTATGATTAATGGTAAGTTAATGACTCTCTCTATATATTTTTTTCTTCCCTGTCCATGATCCCTTTTAAAGTTCTAGCGTTCTGGCGTGACCTTTCCCCTCTGTGGCTGTCTGACAGGCTGCTGCTTGAGGTTTGTTCCCCCTCTTTCAGGCTCCATCAGAGGGCTAATAAACCAAAGTCCTGCACCCACTGTCATCTCTGTACACTAACCCACACACATCTACTAAGAATACACGTGATTCCACCACCACAACCATTTATCAGCCCTAAAAGAGCAGAACTCTGAACAACATTAAGACTCTGGGAGAAAGAGGAAATCTAGATGAAGGAACCATAAACAACATCTAATGGTGGGATGTTACTTGATTCTGATTACTTATTTTATTAAACAAAGACTTGACATTTGGGGAAATATGTGCCTGTTAAACATAATAACAGGCTATTGCTAATAGTTCAGCTTAACATTTATTCTGGAGACAGCAAACCTGGTTCTGTCAAAAGGTAACAAAATCAATCTACCAGCAGAAAGCTCACAAATCAAGGTATTATATTTTGTTTGTCGAATTTGTTCAAAAGTGTGGTTTTCAAATGAGCTACGTAGCTAATAGCTGTAGTTTATGTATCCAGCATGAGGGTGATATCTGTGTTCTCATTTTAGCATTTAAGTGAATTTTCCTTGTCTTTATGCTTAAAGTGACAGAAACCTCAGCACTGCTATAAAGGCATCACACCTCATCTGAGTCTTTAAAATCTTTTTCAAATCGAACTATTTTGGTTTAAAATATAGACTATCTACCACAAGAAAGAAACGTCAACTTTGTCTCTTTGATCTTTCCAGTAAAGGCCAGTAGGACCCAACTTTTCATATTAACACCATCAAAAATTAACATGAAAATCCACAAGAGTATCCAGACAAACAGAAAACATCCATGCTCTCTGCTCTCTCCTTTTTCCTCCACCAGTTACCACCCTAAATAAACATTTCTACCCCACATGAGTAATGACAAAGAGAAGCTAAATCAAATCAAGAGACTCCTCGATTTGCTCCATATGTTAGTTTAGCTCCTAAGCCCTATCAGTGTCCCCATCTTAAGAGGAAAATTCCCGACTAAACTCTGAATCCCCTCTTTGAGAAACCACAGGTTATGCCATCATTCCCCTCATGTACTGTCAGGCTTAGTGAAAGAGCTACTGAAAATTAGCCCGCTTTTGTCCCAATAATGCACTGTGAGGCGACTGCCAGCAGCGACTTGGACTTAACATGAAAGTCGCTCTCACTAAATGCTTCTAATCAAATGTCACATCAGCACATATGTTTTTAAGTTATATTCCTTTTAAATGTACTGTATGTAATTAGGTGCTGAAACGAGATCAATTTGTTGTGTGCTATAAGGAAGTTTATGATTTAAGCTAAAAGGCAACTGGTTGACGGATTCTCAATTTCGATGTCATGTAGGAAATTAATGACTGAGTTTAGGGTTGAATGATGGGGAGCTTGGTTATGTTTTGGATGGATTTCTGTAATCTTTCTGTCTTGTTTTTATTTATTTGTGAGCCTTTGCCATCAACGATTCAAATTCTGCTTTTGGATCTAATAGAGGGAGTTTATGGTGTCTGTACCAGCTAAGCTAGCTGGTTGCTGCCGTTAGCCTGTTATTCAGACACAAGAGTGGTATCAATCCTCTCATCTAGCTCTCAGTTAGAACTTTTCCTTGAAATCAAATACAGCCATACCTCCCTTCCCCACTTTCCCTTCATTTCCGAGTCTGGACATACCAGTCACACAAGCATCACATCTGTCTAAATAACATCTCAGCAACTCTCATGTGTCCACAAAAGTCCCAATATGATTGCATCTCCGTATTGCAGCTGACTCAATGCCAAGCTTGACATTTCATTTTCCAAATGCAGAGTGGCTCTGTGGATGGTTCTCATCTCACATGCGGCGCAGGTCAGACACCTGCTAAGTCGTCTCCTGCCAGGCCAGACGGAGCGGATGTGGGGAGTGACAACTCCCGGAAGAAAAGGCAGCAGCAAGAGTCACTTTGGTATATTGGGCCTGAGATGAATTGTGGAAGTTTTACAGGGAGGCACTCTGGCAGTCAGAACCGTGGATTTCATTTCTTTCCTCAGGCAAGGGTATATATATGTGTGTGTGTGTGCATGGGTGAAGGAGAAACTCACACTCAAGTATCATCTACCATATCTCACAGGCTCCCAGGGCTAAGTGTTTCTGGCAGCCTTTATTATATTAATGGGAAGTGTTCTGTATAGGATAATATACATATGGTACGCTGCGATGAAAGATGGCACCCAGCTAGGGATTAGGGATGTTTGAAGAAATGACAGAAAAAGAAAGAAAGCCAGAAAGAGGCAAACACTCCTTCCTTTGTTGCCTCCTCCTCTCTTTCACTCTTTCCTCGGGCAACAAACTGTTGCTGAAGTCGACTTGGGAAGGCAGGAACAGAGCGAGAGTGCTGTGTTGAGACGAGGCTCGAGGGAGCTGATAGGGCACGTTAGACGCTATGTCCTCCCAAACAGATCCACGCTCCATCCCTGCACCCTCACCCCCACCCCCACCATCTGCCTCACCGCACTCATCTGTTTTCCACTCTGCCTTATCAGTACCAGATGGATCCGACTGTCTTTCCTTGCATCCCGTCTTCGCAACCTTCCCCCCCTCCACTCTCCAACCACCTTTCTCCTCCCTTTCTCCCCTTGGCTTCGCTCGTTTATG